TGATAAGAGCACAAAGGTGTCTTTTGTTATGTTAATGAGGTGACGGTCAGAAAGCACCTGATAATGGGGGCTTGGTTGCCTGCCACTGGAGCCAACCAAGCAATTAGAGGTTTGGAGCTTTCCGTCCCTCCTTCCTCTCCTCCGGAGCGGGGAGAAGGGCTGGCGATTGAGTTCAATCACCAATGGCCGATGATTTAATCAATCACACCTATGTAATGAGGCCTCCATAAAACCCAAAAGGATGGGGTTTGGAGAGCTTCCGGGTTGGTGAACACGTGGAGATGTGGCGAGAGTGGCTCACCTGGAGAGGGCATGGAAACTCTGGGCCCTTTCCCCATACCTTGCCCTATGCATCTCTTCATCTGGCGCTGTTGGTTCATATCCTTTAATATCTATTGTAATAAACTAGTCATTAATCTGGTTTCCTGAGTTCTATGAACCACTCTAGCAAATTAATCGAATCCAAGGAGAGGGTCGTGGGAACCTCTCATTTATAGCCGGTGGGTCAGAAGCACAGGGAACAGCCTGGACTCGGGGTTGGCATCTGAAGTGGAGGCCAGTCTTGTGGGACTGAGCCCTCCACCTGTGGAGTCTGATGCTGCCTCTGGGTAGACAGTGTCCGAATTGAGTTGAGTTGTAGGACACCCAGCTGGTGTCTGAGAACTGCTTGGTGGTATGGGGAACCCTCCCCTCCATTGGAACTGGGTGCAGAATGCTAACTGCTCTGGAAGGGACCCACACTAAGATATATCCTTACACACCCTTGACTACAGTGCTGGGGGAGGCAGGGTGATTATTGATTTTTTAATTTTTTAAAATTTTTACTGAGTTCATAATAGTTTACAACATTGTGAAATTTCACTTGTACATTATTATTTGCCCATCACCGTATCGGTGCTCCCCTTGATCCTTTGTGCCAAGCCCCGGGCTCCCTTCCCCTGGTAACCACTGAATTGTTCTCTTTGTCTCTTTTGTGTGTTTGTTATCTTACACATATGAGTGAAATCATATGGTGTTTGTCTTTCTCTGTCTGGCTTATTTTGTTTAACATAATGCCCTTCAGGTCCATCCATGTTGTTGTGAATGGGACGATTTTGTCTTTTTTAATAGCTGAGTAGTTGCATTGTGTATATACACCACATCTTCTTTATCCAATCATCGGTCGATGGGCACTTGGGTTGCTTCCATGTCTTGGCTATTGTGAATGATGCAAGGCAGGGTGATTTTACTCCCATTTTACTGATGGAGAAACTGAGGCCTGGATAGGTTAATGAATTTTCCCAAAGCGGTAGAATGTAGGACTCCTGACTCCCAATTCACTGTGATTCTTCTCTCAACAATATGCCTTGGTGCCTCCTAGGCTCCCATCTGATGTAAGGGAGGACACCGGGGGTGCATTGGGTAAAGAGCAACAAGGAAAGAAATCTTTTGCTGCTGTCTTCATTTTAGTCCCCAAGACTAGCAGTGACTTGGTTGAGAAAAAGCCTTGCCCTTTGATTAGAACTATTGATACCGGAATGGGTCATGAGAGCAGGAAGGGATTTTTGGCTGAGATATTATGGAAGGGTTAACTGGCTCTTTGGGTGGTCCCAGGGTCGAGACCTTCAAGACAAGTCATAGCATCATAGAACATTAAATGTGGAAGGCAGCTTTGAGGTCATCCTGGCTAGTCTAAACCTTTCTTTTACAAATGGGGGAACGGAGGTCTAAAGAAGAGGAAGTCCTCAAGGTCATCCAGTAACATGGAAATTAGGATCTGAGAGAAAGGAAAGGAAATAGAGGCAATCAGAGTCAGGTTTGCTAAATCAGGGGTCTATGAGAACCTGCTAAGTCAGGAATGGCAAATTGGAATGAACTCTAATCAAGGGATGGGGCTACCCAGAATACCGAGAACTGAGCAAGCTTGTGAGGCCCTATCTCAAATTTGAGAGAAACAGTTAAAGAACTGATTAGTGGTACCAGCCTGGGTACAAGATAGGTGAGTACTGTTTATCTGTCAATACGTAAAGACAAGGGCAAGAAGTCTGGGGCTGTGGTTAAGACAGAATAGGAATCCACAGGGAATTTGGAGGGATGGCGAGGGTAGGTCACTAAATGGGGTGGCTAGCCTGGTGGTCAGGTTGCTCAGCCACCCTAAATTACTTTTCTGCTCTATCCTTCTCTGTCTGGATTCTATCATGGTGCTTTGGAATCCCAATAATGTTGTAGAAGCAAACAAACTTTATTTTACATGGCAGATGCTTAAAGTAAAAATTCTGGATCCTGCTCCAGATTTTGCCTTTAGCCTCTTGTCTTGTAGTCCTAAAGTTGACTAGTTCCACTTGGGTCTCACTTTCCCCATATGCAAAGTAAAGGTGTTGGGTCAGGTCAAAAATTCTCAAAAAGCATTCAAAGAAACAAGAGTTCCTTAGGATGGTTGTGGCTATGATGTGCAAATTTCATTTGGAATGTTGCTGGATTAATAAAAACATTTTTTTTTTTTTAACTGCAGGGCTTCTCAGATCCTTTAATGTAAGAATTCATCTTACAGTGACTCAGGTAGGCAGAGTTCCCCAAACTTACTTGAAAACACATAATATACAGGACAGTCTCTAAAGGTCTTTCAGCTTCAAAACGTTATAATTTTTCTTTCTTTTTTTTTTTCTTTTTTTTTTTTTTTACCAATTTCCTTTGAGAATAGAGATTTAAAGACAAGCATAATCAATGATTGGCTCACTTTCGTTCTCTCCTGTAGGCGTGATAGGGTGGTTGGTTTTTAACCACAGCGTTTGAATGGCTCAAAGCAGGTGGCAACCATAGGGGTCATCTATTTAGCAGAGCACTTGAAGATACATCAATCGAATTGAAAACAACTGAAACAATTTGGTCTTTAAGACCAGACTTGGTTCTTTCAGTTACTTCCATGATGTGACTGGCAGTAAAACCAACTGGCAAAATTGACTGCAGAAATGTGCTAAGGGGCTTTTTTTGGGGGGGAAATATAGTTTTTGTCAGTATAGCTGCTATGAGGGTTTTCCATCTGAAAGTCTTGCTTAGCAAAATCCTGCCGAGCAGGCTAAGCTGGGTGGTGGCGTTAGCCTTGCAGCACAAGGTGGAGCAAGTTGTCATGATCACGTGTACACTGTTACCATCTCACATGTGCCATGAGTTCTAGGTGCCCAACCCTAAATGGTTCTCCACACTGAGATGTCCAGCCTGGGGCAGCTCCAGCTGCCTGTGTCTGTCTTCAGAGACAGAGTCTTCCTTTGAATGAAGGGCTGTCGGTTTTCTCTATTCAAAAGAGGCCACGCCTGTTTGATCTGCCTTTGCACAAGTCTGGTCATGAATAACTTCAAACTCTGCATACCAATAGTTTGCATCAAAGACTATGTTAGGGTCAGCACTGCCATCCAAGAACGGAAAGTATGGTGGTTTTTAACCAGGGCTTCATGGGAATCATCTATGGAATTAAAACAAACACACACCCTTGGCTCCACCCCTGGAGATTTTGATGGAGAACATCTAAAGCGGGTGCAGTCATGTGTGTTTTAAAAAGCTCCACTGATAGATACAACCCACGTGTCCATCAATAGGAGATTGGATACACAAAGTGCGGTTTATTCATACAATGGAAAGCTACTCAGCAATAAAAAAGAAAAAGCTGCTGTTATACACAGTAACCTGGACGAATCTCCCAGACATTAGGTTAAGTGAAAAAAGCCAGTCACCAAAATATATACAATGTAGAATTCCATTGATATGAAGTTCAAAAATAAGCAAAGCTAGTATATGGTGTTAGAAATCAAAATTGGAGGTGTCTGCTGGGGGGAAGTGAGATAACAACAGAAGGCAGAGGGGCACATTCTGGGGGATGATGAAAATACTCTATACCTGGTTTTGGGTGTTGGTCTACACAGATGCACACAGTTTCAAAACCTAAACTGAATCCTTAAGAGATGTGCATTTTATTGTATATAACTTATACCTCATTTACATAAAACAGCCTAACTTCCATGTAAGTCCCTAAATTAGGGTCCTATACCAGTGCCAAAGTCCGAGAAGCGACCATTTCTACACATGGGAAGGGCCTAATCCAGCTCAGCCCAGTTACAGCCTTGAGAAATGGAACACTCCCCTCTTCTCTGCCTTATATCACAAACCCCCATTTTCATTTACCCTCTGGGATGTCTCCCATCCGTTCTCTGTCTTTTGGATAATAAAGCTCTAGAGAACTCAACATAACAACCAGCTTAATAATAAGGCCATAGGTCTCCAGGAACTGTGCCTCTTTCCTGTCTCCATTTCAGCAGCCCGCTCTGCATTCCTGGAAGGAATCCCATCCTTCTTAGGCCCCCTTATAGGGACTTCACATTTATTGAGAACCTACTGTCTGCTGGAGCTTGTTGGCTCCTTTACCAAGACTATCTCATTTTATTTTCGAAATAACTCTGAGGAGTAGATATTTTTTACTATCTTCCCCATTTTCCAGATTAGCAATTGATAAGGGAAGATAAATAACAGGCCCAAAGGTGAGATCAGGCTGTTAAGCGGAGGATACAGGGTTAGAACACTGGTTGCAAAACCTCTTACAATTTAAGACCTCTTCCCTTTGGGGACCTGAGGCGGGAAAAGCAGAGACGGGCGTTGGCAGGAGAGACACTGTGGAGTGTAAAAGGGGCATAGGTCCTCACTTGACAATGTTTTTATGCCCAGTTGGCAGAATTCAAGCCAGCCGGGCCCCACACACCCAGCCCGTCCCGTGCTCTCTGGCTCACCCATGCTGGTGGCTCCGAAGTGGCAGCCTCAGGGCGAGTTTTGTTCGGTATAACTTAGAAAACAAAAAGGAAGCAAGTGGGAGATGTAGAGACGTCTTTACTTTTAGGATTCTGGCTCCCTGAGATCAGAGGAGTGGGTTCCCGCACGGGGGTGGCTAGGCACAGGGAGACGCACTGGAGCAGATTCTGTGGGGGGTGTGTGTGTCGGCGCGCCTGTGCGTGGGGCGGGGTGGGGGGGATCGCTGTACCCAGCGCCAGGCACTGGGGGAGGAGAAAGCGGTAGCGGAGATCTGAATAATTGATTCTTCAGCAGCACCAGACGCCCCGGAGCGGGCGGAGAGCGTGGTTTCAGAACCACGGACAGCGGCGCACCGCCGCTGCAGGCGCCCCCGCCGCCAGCCAGCCACCTAGCCCGGCCTTGTCGCCGCCGTGCGCCCCGGGAGCGGGTGGCGGCGCGGAGGGACTACGGGGTCTGCCTCGGCCCGCCTCCGGGGAGGGCGGCTGCGGGAGGGAGACGCTTTCGCCCGCCGGAGCTCCAAGCCTCTCCGGCTTTCGCGGGGGCTGCTGCGTCTCGCCGACTGAGAACAAGTCCCTAAGTTGGCGTGGGGGCGCCCCTGCCTTCCTCCTCCTCTTCCTTCGAGGCGACCGCAGCAGAAGCCCGCCCCGGGAGCCCGGCTTTGCCAGTGCTGTGATCCAGGGTGGCCAGGCGCTCTCCGGACTCCCGTCGGGAAGTGGGGAGCTGAACGCCCGGCGCCGAGCTGGCCCCTCAGCGAAGGGCCCGGAGGGAGCTGCCTTCCCCCGCCCCCGCCTCTCTCTCGGCCAGGGACCGCGGGGATCCCCGGCCACACGCGCGCGCGCGTTCCCACACTCACTCACACACTCACTCGCCCTCACACACACCACCCCGGCGCCTGGGCTGCGGAGAGGGCTCTCGGGGTGCGCTCAGAGGACCGGGCAGCTGCTGTCCAGAGTGGGGCGGGAAGCCGAGCTCCGGCTCTTGGAGGGAGGCGCCCAGGGCTTAACCAGAGCATGGGGCCGGGTGAGCGCTGAGAGTCGCGGCCGCAGCCATCAACCCTGGAGATGACCAGGAGCGGCCACTGCTGAGAACTATGTGGAGAGAGGCTGCGGTGAGTGCTGGCGCGGGACGCGGGGCCTGGGCGGCCTCTTTGGGAAGAAGACGGTGGGAGGCCTGGATAGGAGGGGGCAGCAGGACCGCAAGAGGGTCTTGCGTGGGAATGATCGCACCTCCTTCGGGGATCTGGGACCGCGGGAGCCCGAGTCCTTCCCTCCCCCTCTCCTCCTGCCGGCTCATCGCAAACTCAGCCAGGGCCCACCTCCCAACCCCCCTCCCCCCATTCCCTCCTCTTTTTCTCCCTACCCTCCTCGCTTAGCAGCTCCCGGCCGCACAACTCCCAGCAGCCGGCGCCAGGGAGGTGATAGGGAGTGAGGGTGGAGGTGCCCAGTTAGCTTCTCTCGGGTGGCCAACCTAAGGCTCCGGTTCTGTGCGCCCCGGAGCAGAGCTCTCCATATCGGCCACGGGGTCTTTGGATCCGCACTGGGGGCGTCTTGGGCACGGAGCTTCAGCTGCCCCTCTCCAGTCGAGCCCCCTGTGCGCACAGAGGGGCTGTGAGCACTGCAGACTGCAGCCTGCCCCCCACTCTCCCTCCCCCCGCCAGTGGGCTGACCCTCCCTCTCCATCTCTTCTCCGCTCCGGTAGAGCCCTGCTGCAGAGCCTCCGGCTTGGATAGCCGCCCCCCGTGGGGGCGATGCGGACAGCGCGGGACAGCCAGGGGAGCGCGCGGGGGCCGCAGCATGCGGGAACCCGCTAAACCCGGTGGCTGCTGAGGCGGCCGAGATGCTCGTGCGCGCAGCGCGCCCCACTGCATCCTCGACCTTCTCCGGCTACAGGTACGTCCCAGAGGGAGACCTGGGCTCCGCCGGCTGGGGAGGAGGAAGACACGACCGAAGGGAGAGCGGGAGAAGGATGGGAGAGAGAGAGAAAGCGGGAGAGGGAGAACCAGTAGCGAGGCGCGGGAGGAGCACCAGGGGGCGCTGCGGCTCCGCACTCCGCGAAGCTCCTCGGAAGAGCGCCGAGGCCGGCGCGAGTTCGCCCCAACTTCCCCTGGCTCCCGCAGCGCCCGGCTCGAGGGGCGCGCGCCTGTGCACGCGTGCACGACTGTTCCGGTATTTGCAGGCACGCGCGGCTGTGCACCTGGCGCGGTACATGTGTGTACACCGCGTGGGGACGTGTACGGACTCCGGATGGGCACCGTTACCGCGGCCTGCGGATGTGCGCAGAAATGCGAGCGTGCCTGTGAAGGGTGTGCGGCCCGCTGTCCACGTGCACCTAAGACTTGGTAACGGGACCCGAAGTGGAAAGCCTGGGATGGGGCTGTACCGTTCATGTCCGTCGGAGAGCTTCTTGGGAGCCTACCTTGCCCCTGCGCAGGTTCTTTGCCGGCTCTCACCCGCCAGCCCGCGGGGGGACGTGCCTCCTCTCCGGAATTCTGCATTGCACACGGCAAGCGTGAGAGAGGGTGTGTGTGTGTGTATGCGCGCGTGTGTGCACGCGTGCGTGTAGGGGGCGGGTCCCGGGGCCACTTGCAGTTGAGTGGAAATCGCTTCATGGCCCCTCCGCGCGAGGTGGGGCGGGCCCCAAGTTCCCCCAGGTACCCCGGGGCCTGGGGCGCACAAGCAAGCGTCCTCATTCCCATGCGCTTGGGGTGTAGCCTGGAGAGGATGGGGGTCTGCAGCGGATGCAGCGTGCAGCCTGGTCCGTGCTGCACCCCGCGACTTCGCGGGGGGCGGGGTCAGTTAACTCGCTCAGCGCGGGAGCGGGAATGCGGAGTCGCGGCACCGCCTCCGCACGCCAGGGCTTGTCGCTAGTTCGCTCCTTGTGAGAAGGAGGCGGGGTTGGTAACTTGGTTCTCACTAGCCAGGGTGGGAGAGGGGTGGGTGGAGGGTTTGCTCCGCGCGCCTACTCTCGGGGGGCCGTGGTCCGCAGCTAAGTTGGGGGATGTGGTGGGAGATGTGGGCAGAGTCGGGCATGGAGAAGAGGCCGGAGGCACGGCATGAGGAGGAGGCTGCGTGCGAAGATGCATTTGAGCACAGGGATGGAGAATTAGCTCAAATTGGAGTTGTGGACAGAGTTGGAGATGGGTCAAGAGATGTGGATGGCGTCGGGGATGGGGAATGGAGTCAGTGACGCCTGCACCTCGCGCTGGGGGTGGGCTCCTAAATCAAGAGGCTGGGTCAGTAATCTCTTTCGTCTAGAACCCTCGCTCATCGCGGCCTTGACTCTCCCTCTTCACCTTGCAGGGACCGTAAGTGGCGACTATGGGCAGACTGGGCTATTGGACCCTGCTGGTGCTGCCAGCCCTTCTGGTCTGGCGCGGTCCGGCGCAGGGCGCGGCGGCGGAGAAGGGTCCCCCGGCGCTGAACATCGCGGTGCTGCTGGGGCACAGCCACGACGTGACGGAGCGCGAACTGCGAAACCTCTGGGGCCCCGAGCAGGCGGCGGGGCTGCCCCTGGACGTGAACGTGGTAGCGCTGCTGATGAATCGCACCGACCCCAAGAGCCTCATCACGCATGTGTGCGACCTCATGTCCGGGGCGCGCATCCACGGCCTCGTGTTTGGGGACGACACCGACCAGGAGGCCGTGGCCCAGATGCTGGATTTTATCTCCTCACAGACTTTCATCCCCATCCTGGGCATCCACGGGGGCGCATCTATGATCATGGCTGACAAGGTAAGGCCGGGAGGCGAAGGGCTGCCAGGACCCGGGAGTGCGCCAATCCTATGGTGGACACGCCTGGTCTTCGCGAGCCTTTGGCATCTGTCTTGATCTGAAAGGGGGTCGTGGCCACTGGCCTTGGTGAGAACCAGGTTCTGCCTCTGCAACCTGGAAATGAATGGAAATGATTTTTGCCTTGGTTCTGAAAGTGGGGTGCGCAGAGGCACCTTGGGTGTGCCAGGAAGAGCTTGGAAAATGCAGAAATTTGATGGAGTGGTGGAATGCTTGGAGAATTTCAAGTAGTGCACAGAGGCAAGCCTGGCAGCGCTCGAAACAACGTGGCTCATATTCCTATAATGTCAATTCTACCTGATTGTTTTGTGTGAAATGTACATTTTTCCCTCTTGTGGTAAGCGACTAAAACTATTTCAGAAAAGATTAAATGTGGGTATGTGATGGAATAAAATGCAAAGTTTTTAGGTAAAGCACGAAAGGGCAGAGAAATGTCGTGCTTAAGCAGATTCTCTGCAATTCGGGGAAGAGAGGGGCAGCATTTGAGAAACCCTGGGCGAGAGGCACCCAGGAGTGTTCCTCTAGGGGAGTGGTGTGCTTGGAGAGAACTGACTGCAGACCCAGCACATGGAGGGCCTGGCTGTTCCTACGCGTTCCCTGGGTGGGGCTGACAGGGGCTCCAAAGCCCTCAGCTGGTGGGGTTGGCTCCCAAGGATGGTTTTGGGTACTGAAGTTGGTGTCAGAATGGAGGATGATGTGTCTGAATCTCTTGGCTTAGAATGAGATGGAGGGTCTTTCTGTGGACCAGCTGGGAGTGTGAGTTTGGAGAAGAGGGGAGAGAGATGAAGATTTGAATGAGGGCCTGGTTTAACAATTGTGCAGAAGGAGAGAGATGGGAGAGGGTGGGAAGGGAGAGGGAAGGTGTGGAAGGAGAGAAAAGGGCAGGACTGGGGTTGCAGGTGCCCTGTACCTCTGTCTGAGCCCAGGAAAGGGTGGTGGGGTGGGTTGGAAAGGGTGCGTGTACTTGTGTGCCGTGGTCCCCAGCCCTGAGACTTTCTTGAGCTTGTTCCTTAGATAGAAGGAGACATCCTAATGGAGCGGGCAGACATTTGTCACAGCACTTCCCTTCTGACGCTCTCAAAGCACTTTTATATTTATCAAATCACATCCTGCTTCTGCCTCAGCAGTTCCCACCAGCTCCTCTGGGAACCGTATTAATTCTTTCAGGGCTCTCGGGTTGCAGCACATTCGGTCGAAGTACACAACCGATGCAGTATCTTATTAAACATTCATTTTAAATGCTTTGCAGCCTAGCAGCATTCCTGCGTGTGGTTGAGCGTCCTCCCAGCCACCTGTCAGTTTTGGGGGGGCTCCTCTCTGGGATGCAAAAGTAGGGAACAGCTGTGTCCTACCACCAGTGTGTGGGCCGTTTCAGAACTGGAAAGGGCCTTAGAGTTTCCTGGAGCATCCTGAAACTTTCAGATGAGGTAACTGAGGCATAGGGCAGTTACAGACTTGGCCAAGACCACATGGGGCGTGGTGGAACTAGATCTCTGGTTTTCTGGTCCCAACCTGTGATCTCGCATTCTACCAAACCAAGCCTGTCCTTTAACTTTGTCATCCCTTCTTCAGGAGGGTCAGGAAGTTATCTCATTTTTGGGGAGGTACCGAGCCATGCAGAGGTGCAGAGAATCAGGGTCTAGAGGGATTGTGCATAAGGCTTGGCCAGCCTTCTGATGAAGGCAGGAAGAAGAACAGTAGCTTCCAGCAGGGGTTGGCAGTGAGATTTCGGGATCTAAATATTACCACCCATCACTTCTCCCTTCTGAAGTTTTGACCAAAGGAGCGACACGTGAAAAACAGTGGCCAAATGGAGAGTGAAATTTCTTGATTGACTAGGGCCCAGCATAATCAATGGAGGAATCTGGTAAAAGTTGACTTGGAGAAGGCGGTTTGAGGCTTAGGGTGGGAGGTCTGAGCTGGCAGGTGTGTGGCTCACGCTCGTACGTGACCTACCCATCCAACTGGGCAAAGAAGCAGGAATAGAGGGGGGCTCCTAGTTGAGCACCCCCTTGATTGCAGTGGCCCCATCCACTATGAATGTCAGGCTGTGACTTACCAGACCAGCAGCTGCTCCTCCCTTGAAGGGGTATTAGAAAGAGTTTTGAGAAGTCCAAGGGGTAAGGGTGGAAACCTATTTGTGGAAGGGTATATATTGGGCCCCGTGTGTGGGATGTGCAGGTAATGTTGAGAAGAGTTGGGTTAAAGGGTGGTATTTTGAGAAACCTGGATGTGTTAAAAAAGGAAAGAGACTGTCTGAGATGTGAACAGTCCTCCTTTCCATTAGTAGCACATCCAGTTGGCTTGCGTCTTTGCCACCTGTTTTCTTTTGGAGCTGAACGCTGAGTACAGTTGGTTTGGCTCTGAAGAAGCAGTCATGGGATGTTGCCTAAACCTCAGACTTGGTTGGGTGTACCAATGGTGTGTGGCCACAAAGGCTGAATCTCCCTAGACGGACAAGGTGTCTCTGTCTCCCCCTAAGGTGGTGTTCGTTTGGTACAGCCCAGAGCATACCTGTGTTGCTTTCACTTCCAAATCGGTAACATGATAACGCCGCTGTGGATGAGAGTGTAGTTAATTTGATTATCAAATCGAACACCCCTCCCCCCATTTTTACCTTTCTCTCGGTCTACTTGACCCTTAGACAAAAAAGAACCAAGCTTGGTAATAATCGAAATGTGTTAAGTGGCAGATTTTTGTGGTGTTAATTGAATTTACAATGGAGATGTTAATTTTTGCTTCTATCAGTGGGTGTTCTTGCAATATAATTAATTTAGAGGTGCAAATAATGCTTGATGTAGATAAAGTTCTCATCTTCTCTTGGTTTGACCATTTTGATCCCATCCAAACAAAATACACTCTGGTTGCAGTAACAGCCGCTAGTAAATCCAGCATGTGCACCAGACATTTATGTTCCTGCTCAGTGTCCTCACCTCTTCCTCTCTCTTCCCCCTTATTCCTAATTGGGCCATGGGGGACAAGGCAAGGCTGAGATTTTTACTGCATCTCTCCATGTGGGTTACTGCTTAAATGTTGTTTCTATACGTTCCTCATCTTTTCTACTGAGTCGAAGTTCCTTGAAGATGGATTTTTTTAAAAAGTGTGTTTGTGTCTATTTGAAATAATGAATACTCCTCCCCCACAGTTTATAAAAATAATGTCTTTTCATTGTGGAGCACATACAAAGTAGCTTTAAGTTTAAAGAAGAAAAGAAAAATCTCCCTCTCAATCCTATTGCGAGGAGTAACCACTGTTGACGCTTGGGTCTATTTCTTTCTAAGCGCTATTTATTTAAAGTTCAGGATTATTCTGTGTATACAGTTTTGTTTATTGTACTTTGCACTTGCTCTCTTAGTCAGAAGATCCAGGTTTTTCTTGAATTCTAGAAAAATCTCAGCCATTGTCTGTTGGATGTTTCCTCTCTAGCATTATCTCTGTCCCTCCATATGTTCTTTCTCAATAAATTCTCCATGTCTTAACTTAAACATTTTTCTTCCAGTTCTCTGTCTCTATGCTGTATTTGGGAAGATTTCCTCAATTCTCCAGGCCAGTTAACCGGCTCTTTTCATTTGCATCTGATCTATTATTTTGCCTATCTGTTGAGTTTTTAATCTCAACAATGGTTCACTTTATTTCCAAGAGAAATAGTTGGTTCCTTTTCATACCTTCCTGCTTTTTTTTTTATTTGTTTTATAAAAAAAACTCTTCTCAGCTTGTGGATGTAAAATTCCTCCTCTGTCCCTTTGAGGATTTAAAAAAATACTTATGATGAAGTCCTTCTCTGATTCCTGTAGCATCTTTGTTTCTTCAGGTATGAGTTCTTCCATTCTGGAGAGTCTGATCATTGGATGTCCTCATATGTGCTCTAATTTTTGCTTCTGAACTTACCTTCAAGGCAGTTTTATGATTTCTTCTGCCCTCTATCTGTAAGGGGGTGCGCTTTTAAACCAGAGCTCATGTCAACTGCTCAGCTCAGAACTCTCTTCCTGCTCTATATTCCCTATGGTGCAGGCTTGGGTCTCAGTCTCATGTGGGTGACTTCATTTTGGCTCCTTGACACAGACAGGGGCATCCTTTTTGGCCGTGACTGGTGGTGGGTGCTGTGGATGTTCCAGCCCTGTTCACAGCCAGCTGCACGGTTCTGGGTCCAGTTTTGTCCCTTATCCCCTGGGCAGATGTGAGGATCTCTGCTCCCCTGGCCCACATCAGACCCTTCCCGCCATGGACCATGTGGCTTTGATTCCTACTTGAAACCACAGAGTCCCATCTTCATTTATTTTTTAGGAAGTCCTCTCTGTTTTTGATCTGTGATTCGCTTTTCTTATTTCCAAGCAGTATTCTGTAAATTTTAAAATATCTAAAAATCTATCTATAAATTCTCTGTGTTAGGAGAAGAGAGAGGTTACAAAATCAGAGTGAACACAGTTCACAGCTATATTTCATAACCTGCTTTTATTTTTTTCAAACTTGATTTTGTATTCTTGAAATTTTCCCTTGTCATTAAATAGACTTCTAAACAGGATTTCAAATGGCTGTAGAGTACTCTGTATACAACACAATTATTTTACCCATTCTTCTATTTTTCCACCTTTCGTAGGGTTGATTTCTGATCCGCACGGGTGTTCTTCTCGGCACCTGGCACTGATCTTGCCCTCTGCATTTGTTTCTCGGTGAATGTTTGTTGATTGAATGAATCAAGTCATTGCTTCTGATGCCAGCTCGCTGCAGTTTCCAGACAAACTCGCCACACTGTTGTTCAGGGCTTTCCAGGCAGTGTTTGTTCCCTAAAGCTGGCTGATTTCCTGGGTGTGTGCCAAGTCTCCTCTCCTTTCTAGTGGGCAGATAATTACTAGCCATCCTGGAGATGAACAGAAATTGAGGGGTTCCGTACCAAAGGCCCTGTAGGGCTCCTGAGGAAAAGCTCATCCGCAGGAGGTGGATGT